CATTTTTTTGATGGCAAGCCCCCAGATGATACACTTGCAAGCTGCACATTTGTTCATTTTTTGTGGTGGCAGACTCCCAGATGACTGTGGTAGTTGAAAGTTGAAAGCTAACCTTCTTTACTTTTTTTTTTGGCGGTGGCAGGCCCCCAGGTGAAAATGTGACAGCTGCAAACTGGATATTCTTGACGTTTAGGCGGTGGCAGGCTCCCAGATGAGAATGCGACACTTGCAAGCTGCACATTTGTTCCCTTTTTCGGGTGGCAGGCGCCCAGATGAGCGTGACAGTTGCAAACTGAAATTTCTTGACTTTTTTTTTTTGCGGTGGCAGGCTCCCAAGTGAAAATGTGACAGCTGCAAGCTGGATATTCTTGATTTTTTTGCGGTGGCAGGCTCCCAGCTGAACCTTCGTGACCTTTCTTTTGCGGTGGCAGGCTCCCAAGCGAAAATGTGACAGCTGCAAGCTGGATATGCTTGACGTTTTTGCGGTGGCAGGCTCCCAGATGAGCGTGGCAGTTAAAAACTAAACCTTCTTTACCTTTTTTTGCGGTGGGAAGCTCCCAGGTGAAAATGTGACAGCTGCAAGCTGGATATTCTTGACGTTTTTGCGGTGGCAGGCTCCCAGATAAGTGTGGCGGTTGAAAGCTGAACCTTCTTTGCTCTTTTTTTTGGCAGTGGCAGGCTCCCAGGTGAAAATGTGACAGCTGCAAGCTGCCTATTCTTGACGTTTTTGCGGTGGCAGGCTCCCAGATGAGTGTGGCAGTTGAAAACTAAACCTTCTTTACTTTTTTTTTTCGGGGGCAGGCTCCCAGGTGAAAATGTGACAGCTGCAAGCTGCCTATTCTTGACGGTTTTGCGGTGGCAGGCCCCTAGATGAGTGTGGCAGTTGAAAACAAAACCTTCTTTACCTTTTTTTTGCGGTGGCAGGCTCCCAGGTGAAAATGTGACAGCTGCAAGCTGGATATTCTTGACGTTTTTGCAGTGGCAGGCTCCCAGATGAAAATGCGACACTTGCAAGCTCCACCTTCTGTGGTTTTTTGCGGTGGCAGGTTCCCAGATGAGTGCGTCAGTTGAAAGCTGAACCTTCTTAACCTTTTTTTTTGCGGTGGCAGACTCCCAGGTGAAAATGTGCATTTTTGCGGTGGCAGGCGCCCAGATGAGTGCAGCAGTTGAAAGCTGGACTTTTTTTTTCCCCCCGGCGACAGGTTGTAACATTCGCTTCGGGGTCCTGGTATGAGGTTGTGGTATGAGGCAGGCCCTTGCGTAGCAACGTAGTGCGTATAGAGTTGTTTCTTCTACCAAAACAAGTTCCTGTTGCTGCAGCTGCGATAATGTCTAAACTGATCTGTTCTTGTTGTTTCTGGCAAGCAGAACTGGCGATGAGGGATGAATTTAACGTTGGGCTAAGGTGCTTAAACGTTCAAGATACCACAAAAGGTTTTGGTTCATTTTGACAGCAGAACGGTGGGCATGGAAGTCCAAAACATCTAAGGAGTGTGTAACAACTCACCTGCCGAATGGACGCAAGGGTTGCGATGCAGCTTTTGGCGTGAGCCTCAAATTTTTGTGGAAGAAGTGGGCCGTTTTTAGCAAGCAGAACTGGCGATGAGGGATGAATTTAACGTTGGGCTAAGGTGCTTAAACGTTCAAGATACCACAAAAGGTTTTGGTTCATTTTGACAGCAGAACGGTGGTCATGGAAGTCCAAAACATCTAAGGAGTGTGTAACAACTCACCTGGCGAATGGACGCAAGGGTTGCGATGCAGCTTTTGGCGTGAGCCTCAAATTTTTGTGGAAGAAGTGGGCCGTTTTTGGCAAGCAGAACTGGCGATGAGGGATGAATTTAACGTTGGGCTAAGGTGCTTAAATGTTCCAGATGCCACAACAGGTTTTCTTCATTTTGACAGCAGAACGGTGGTCATGGAAGTCCAATACATCTAAGGAGCGTGTAACAACTCACCTGCCGAATGGACGCCAGGGTTGCGATGCAGCTTTTGGCGTGCGCCTGAGCGAACCAGTTTATACATCCGAGTTTGCATGTCTCTTCATGATTGCGTAGTACGACGCGCGTTTGTGGAAGGCCCAGTACTGTTTGTTGGCAGGTGCAGCTGCTTAGTTGAAAGAAAAGCCGCAGGGGATCCCCTTGAAACCCTGCAGTCAATGTTGACATGCCGCGGACTTTTCAGAATAAATGTTTGATGTCTATCGAGGAGACCTCCCAGAATGAAAGCCTTTCATGTCTATTGATGTCTGTTCGATCGGTATCCAAACATTGACAAATTTCAACATTGACCGCAGGGGTCGCAGGGGATTGGGTGTGGTCACATTTTTCTAGGGGTCTCTAGCAAACGAAATGAGAACGCAGAAATAGATAAGATGGGACGGAATTAATTCCATTAGCAGAAAAAGCGACTAGAAGAATGTAGACGTAGCTGACACAGCATGCTGTGGTGAATTGTGGCCCCTGATACCGTCAGTGAGCACGATGCTTCAGTACAGATCTTACGTCGATTTCGTGCAGAGCACAGCTGCCCACACCACAAGATTAAAAGGCGTGCTGTGTGCCGTCATGCTTTTGGGTTCTCTGGCCCACCTTGCTTTTGTCACTTTAACGCTGACTGCAGGGGTTGCAGGGGACTTGGACTGGCCCAGATGTTATCATTGTACTGAGGAGCTGGAATGAAACATTTCGCCTGCAGCCATCCTGTGAAGGCTCCACCGACCTTTGCATGCTCTTCGAGAATATCCTTCACTATTTCCGATTGGCTACATTGTCTTTGCCGTGATGGGGCCATTTTTGGAATCGAAATATAGGCCCTATTTAGGGGTTCATGGTTTGTTCTGTGATAGTAGGATTTTCCGCCTCCTTCAGGAAAAGTTCCATTAGCAGGTTAGGGACCCTCTCACTGAAGTTAAATAGGATTTTCCGCCTCCTTCAGGAAAAGTTCCATTAGCAGGTTAGGGACCCTCTCACTGAAGTGGCTGAGTGCTGTGCCGTTGTGATTCAAGAGGACTCCACCAATTGACCCGATGCCTGTCTCTTCATCGAAGGCTCCATCGGTGAAGATAAGAATAGGCGCTTTTACACACAGACAAGAACGGCACAATTAAAATTGCCTTTTACCCCAGTTTTTGCCGATCGACCTTCATTTCGTGCGAAAGGGTTGCTCCAGGACAAGTCAAATCGCAATTTTACGTCAGTTTTTGCCGATTGACCCTCATTTCGTGCGAAAGGGTTGCTCCAGGACAAGTCAAATCGCAATTTTACCTCAGTTTTTGCCGATCGACCCTCATTTCGTGAGAAAGGGTTGACGTTTTGTGACTCGCCTGCTCCGTTATGGCAGTAAGTTGAAGAGGAGCTCCATGTTCAACCCTGTGTCGGAGGAATTCCAAGGGGGTTCGTAGTTCTGCATCAAGTTTGTGTCCCTGCCTTCCACCTTTCATCAAGGCTCTTTTTCCAAGTCGGTGAAAAGCAAGGTTTGCCGTCCGGCCAAACAAGAAACTTTCAAACCACTGCACTCTGCCCTTGAATGACTCGGCCTCCTTCGGGGAAAGCTCGTTGGATTTCAGGATTGATGTTATTCTCTCCAGCAATTCTGACCTGCGTTCAGGCGTGTGCTTTATAAAGACAACACCTTCGTCAAATCCAGTCAGGTCGAAGATGAGGCCCAGTGCTCTCATCTCGTTGCTGAATGGTTGGTTTTTCTTGCCCTCCTTTGCATACTGCACTCCAAGCAAGTCAAACAGGAAGCCAACGCACTTGTCCGTCTGAGCGGCTTCTGCATCGGCTGCCATTGTTGGGAAGTCATCAAAGAAAGCGCTGCACCACACCTTCAAGCCCACGCTCAAGACATAAAAGAGGGCCGAACTGACCCTGAGGAAACCAGCAACACTACCCGTCGCCCCGAAAGGGAGGCTGTTTAAGCCGTAGGGCTTCGCCTGGCAAGTGTTAGGATCGCAAATTGCTATCCTGAGGTGCTGGCGGTCTGTAGGGTGGATTGGATATTGTTTGTATGCGGCTTTCAAGTCAAACGTCTTTCCTTTTAAAGCAACCGTGTTCGACTTCTGATTCAAGACCAGCGCTCTGATCAATGAAGCTGCAATGAAATCCACCCCATGCAAAGTGAACTTCTCAGGAAGCCCGCAAGCGTCGTTCAAACCACACTGCTTGAAGTTGTCGATGACTCTCACCTTTTCATTCTGCCTCAGACCAAACCGATGTGCAATGATTTTGTTGTGAAGATCACCAGTTGTGTCCTCCCAGATCCATTTTCGCTCGCATTCTGCTTGAGTTTCTTCCCAAGCGGCAAGGTGTAACTCTGCATCTTCTGGTTCTCTGACACGCTTAAGCACGGCTTTTTGCAAACCAAGAGAGGACTTAAGGATGGCTTCCAAGGTTAGTTTAGGAGGACGGGGCAAGCTCATAAACACCTGCGAATCTCTCATCCAACCTGACAATCTAAAGCCTGAAATTATGTCGCTGAAGAGGTTTTTGTCTGGGAACTGCAGGTCCTCCAGCATCTCCTTGAAAACCAACAAGCGCTTCCCTTGTAAAACGTGTCTGACATGTTCTCCCAGATTCAGTCTGAGATTTCGTTCATCCCTTTCTAACTCTTTCGCTCTTTTCACCCATTTCTTGAAAAAGGCTAGTCTCAGATCATCCAACCCGCAAGCATGATGGTTCAGGTTTGTCCGCAACAAGTCATCAAGCTGTTCTGAACCCGCGTATGGCAAGAATCTCGGATGCCCAACCTGTGCAGCCTTTTTCACAAAATCCCAAGGTTCTCTTGGGATTCCAAACGTCACAAGCTCAACCTTTGTCTCATTGCTAACATGAAATCCTTCCAAGTATTTCAGAGATTCACCAGTTAAGTCGGAAACCCGCTTGTCACCCCCAGTAAGAAGTTTCCGGTCGGTTATCCGAGCTCCTTTTGTGAGTTGTGGCAGAATGCGGCTTGCATCCATATCTGGCCTGACAGCAAATTGTACGTAATGACCAAACTCGCTGACCAAAGGTTTCAGCTTTTGACCTCTGGGAAGTAAGCCCATAGCTACCGAGTTGATTGCTGTAGTGCGTCGCTGGGCAATCTGCTGTGTTATGGTTTGCGGTTGTTCAATGCCTCGCGCTTGCAAATCAGCAATTAAAAGTGCAGCCACTCTCTGACATAGGAGCTTTGGATACTCCGCTTCATCCTTTGTAGGATAATGGACACCATCAGCTGTCAGAGTCGGTGTCCATGGCTTGTGAGGGTGATCCCCTGAACAAGGCAAATTAAATGAAGAGAAAAACTGGTCATTGCACCACCAAGTTGTCTGTTTCTGTCTCTCACCGCCCATCATACAGTTGTGAAAAATATTGCAGTGTCCCGGATGAGCTTGCAAAAGTTCTTGAATAGGATCCGTTTTCCAAAAGAGGCTATTGGTGGGGTTTTCCATTGAAACTCGTATACCCAGTGAAATCGCCAGTAGGGCTAAATCCCTTGTTGCAAAGTACAGTTTATTGGCTTGTTCCACTTTATATAAATCAAGACCTGCAATCCTGCTGTGGCGGAGTTATTCCAGCGTCTTTCAACTTCGCTTGCACTTCTGAAGGTAACTTTCTTTTTCTTGCGGCTGAACAGGTTCCACACGGTGGTGCAAAATGAACCAGGCAGAGGTTAAGAGCCTCCTGCCGAATGAAATCCATCAGAAACTGCAAGTCTTCTGGCATGGTGAAGTCCAAAATTGTGATAGGCCCTTTCGCTCTCTCCGTACCTTTGTCGACAGCCACTCCACGCAAGTTTGTTTTGCGCACCTCGATTGTTAGTGAAGAAGTTCCAGCGAAGACCTCCAAGAAAAGGATGTTTTCAAACAGAACCTTTCGAGTTGTGGCACCACTTGGATCTTCAGTGAAACATTTTTCAGCAGTCTGTTGTTCAGCATCGCTTGAGTCGGTGACACTATCTTCCAACTGGGCGCCTTCAGGCGTGTTGGGCATCTCCTGCAACCAATTGTGATGTGAAACTGTATCTGATTGATTTGGGCCCTTTTGTCAGTGGGGGGAAGACTTCCCCGGAGCCGCTTTGCATTGCTGAAACGAATGACCTGTCTTGCGACAGAAGGCGCAAATGTGAACTCCTCTTCTGCACTTGGGAGGCTGTCCAGATGCCTCAAGGGAGCATCCATTCTTCAGATTATACGACCAACAAATCGGCTTGTTGTCCGATGTATGCTGATAGCACCCTTTGAGCTCATCAGGAGGAGTAGGGGCTGTCCTGTTCTTCTTGCTGGGTCTAGCCTTTTTCTTTGGCTGCACCGTAGAGGGTGTCGTGGCTGAGGTACTGGCTGGCCGCGTCTGCACTGAGGAAGCTGGCCCTTTGTTTGGAAGGGACAGCATATACATGGTGATGCGAGGGTCATGCATCAGCTTCAAAATGGCTTCATCCAGCGGCCTCTTTCCCGTATTGTCTGGCTTGACAGTCGGCAACTCTCTAGCCAATATGGTCCACATTGCTTTGTCTGCTGACACCAATTGCTGTAAGCTGACCTTTCCAAATCCCGGCGGAGGGTCTGTTGAGTAAGCTGCAAACATCGTGGCCAGCCATTTTTGGGATACATCCCAAGACACCATGTTGCACATCTCAAATGCCACGCCTCTGCGCTGAAAACACCATTGTAATTTGATCTCTGATCCATGGTCTGCATCATCCAGCTTAAGCCCATCTGTTCCAACCTTAAGCGTCTGTGACTCAATGCGAAGGATCTGGTGTGAGTCCTTTGGCATTGCTTGTACTTCTGCATCCCTCTTGGTGCACATTGATGGAGAAACCCAAATGATTGCTCCGGTGTCGTAAATGTTCTGGCACTTGTCCAGCAAAGCATGGGACGGTTCTGTTTCACCTTGAACCAGGAATCCAGGTATCTTGGTCCTGATCATCTCGTACCTTGCTTGCTTCTCTGCAAACGGTAACTTCTTTGTGCCATCTAAAGCATGACTGGTCACTGCTGTTTTCAACTGTGACAAAACAAATGTCGCCGCTTCGAAGTGGATTCTCCTCAACAAGCTCTGTTGCCCTGCTGTGAAACCATCTCCCAAGACCTGTGTTGAAAAGGTTCTGAACTCATCATCGGTAGGAGCTTTGTTGGGAGCTCCACACGCAAAGGCCAGCTCCGAGAAACATGAAATGTTTTGAGCTTTCAGCAGTGTATGCAAATCCAATGTGGCCGTTGACAACTCTGCACAACGTTGCTTGAATGCAGCTTCAGAATCAATTAAGGTCATGGCTGCGCTGCACCACCGTTTCCCTAAAACAATGTTGAAGTCACCGATGACAACTGGAAATGACAAGGCACTGTTGAAATAAACTTGCAACCTTTCACGTTTCAGGGTTAAAAATAGCGTTCAACAAGTTTATGTGTTTGGCGTTTCCTTTCCATTGTGTGCATGTATACAAAACAATAGGTTCAACTATCAAATAGTTGACCCTATTCTTTTGGGTGTCTTGACATCTCTGAAGTCTAACTGTCTTGACTGAGACTGGAGCCAAAGACCCACTTGAATGGATTTTCCACCGCAACCCCACAGGCTCGGATTCAATGGATCTCTGACAGCGCAATGTTGGATTACCACACATTGTCCAAATTTCTCCAAAATGATCCAAAAAATTTCACTGACCATGTTGGGAATGAACCACCCATGGTCACGTGTGCGACCTTCCTGCCAAACTGGACCACCACGTTTGCAAAAGGTTTCAAACTTAAAAATTTTCTGGTTGAGATCTAACTGACTCAGCACTGTTGCAACCACCCGTGAATACGCTGGAACAACAAATGACCGGTTGGAAAAATCTCAAAAACCACCCCGGTCAAAAAATTGACTGATGACATTTATTCAGAAGAGATTTCACACCGACTCAGCATGCACCTACATTTTGCGCCATCGTTCGGCCAAAATCTCGTATGCTTTTTCAAGCCATCCTATGCCTTCGGCAAACATGGCAAACGGCTGAATCATATCTAAGTTGTGCAGGCTCTGAAAAGTTCTTGTCCAACACTCGGCCACAGCAAGTCCCATGGGGATACTTCGCATCAACAAGGTGAAGAGTCTTGGTCCTCTTGTTCTGCATGAAGTGGAATCCTAAAGGTGCAGATGGTGGATAAAACATCCTGACAGGTGCATTGTATTCAACGCTCTCAGCATCACTGTCGGAAGAAGAACTTGTAAAATGCTCTTCTTCCAATTCTATCTGTCCATCTTCAACTATCTGCAAGGCATTGTCCAGCGCCTCATCCACTTGGGCGTCCAATGCAGCACTCTCGACATCACTCTCAAGAAATGAGACTGCACCAACATCCAATGAAGGGTCTGGCGCATAGTTCTTGTTGAACCTCCCAGCCCTCGTTGAGTCAGGATCAAAATATCCTGCCCTAATTTCCAGCAAAAGTTTATCAATCAAACGGATTGTCCCTGCTTGTGCGTCCCTGGCATAGGTGTCAGCCATCCTAAAAGGATGTGCATGGTGCCCCATGGCCATTTCAAACCCCGCTTTGCCGCCATCGAAAGAATGGTTGCTTTGAGGGAATGTGATGAGATCTGCCGTGTGCTTTCACTACGTTTAACGTTTTCACCCAGCATCAGTCTCAGCCAAACACTTGCCTCATCGCTCTCCAAGGCCCGTTGAAGAGTTGTACCATCTTCAGCTGGCGCTGGCATCAAAGTCTTGCCGGGCTCATTCGAAAAAGGATCAACACCAATGTTCTTGAGTGCATCTATCCAACTCCTCACCCAATCATCTCCAAAAATTCCACTGCCAGACGCAACCAAATCCAAAAACTTGAACTTGTTTGCAGTTGCTTGCATGGTCTTATGGATTTGCACCTCCATGTCCACGTAGGCCACTTTTCCGGAAGATTCCAGCACATCAACTCTGATGCAATTACCGTGAATGAAATCACTCCATCTTGCACCTGCGTAAATGCAGAAAAGAGCAGCTCCACTGAACACTTTGTCCCAAGCATCCCCATTATCCAAACATGTATGCAAATGCCAAATGTCTGCAACTGTTAAGGGTGAAGCTTGGTTCAACTTGTTTGCAAAATCACTCCCAGTGGCTCCCAAACAACGCTTGCTGACCGCGATCGGGTGGAGGTCGTCGATGTCAAAGGAGTACCTGCAAAAGGTAACAGCTTCAAGAATGGACTTCAATCGGCTAGTGCGGGTGCCAGATGAATGCAAGGTCTTAATGATCCTGACATGTCTGGTTCTCCAAGAGGCCAAAAGAATCCCAACTGTTGTAGGGTGGTTGCAAAAACACCATACTGTTTGCACGTTTCAAAAGGGTTGCCGGCGCTTTCCCTGTCAGGTGTCTCCAAGCAAGTTCATTGAATAACTGCCACCATGAACAAAGGCTTTGTGAAATCAAAACTGGAAACATCTGGCTGTGAAACTAAATTGTCAGAAGGCTTATCGTAAATCAGCTTTGGCACTTTGAGCTTGGGCTCAAACTGAGGTACAAGCGCATCCAGGGAATCATGATTAGGGTCGAAAATGCAGGCCCACTCATCTGACTCCCATGGCAGTTGTACTGGGGATTCAGCAACGTTACGCATGGCATGTGCAAGCAAATACTCAAAATTAAAAGTACTCGGCTGTCCAGCTTCATGTGAGGGTGCAACAACGGCGACTTCAGGTCCAGACTGTTGAGGCCCAGGCAGCAGTGCTGTATCTAGATCCAAGCCAGTCTCTTCTCCAGCTGCTGTCTGTAATGCATCATCTGAACCAAATATGTTGTTATGATCAGAGTCACCCAAATAGAATGGTTCCATCTCTGCACCACGACAACATTGCACCACCCCCCAGCTAGAACGCTTGAACCGCAGGACTGACATATACAAAGATGTTAAACCTACCCAGAGGAGTGCAGAACGGAGTTTCAGATTTCTCAGTGATTTTGTTTCAACAAGTTTAAACAAAACCTTGACAACCTGAGAAAAGGATAAACGAAAACCACCAACTCTGGAAAAACAGCAGTTGTGGAAATTCAAGTTTCGATTTGAAACAGTTGAGTTTTGGTTCACACTTGTTGGGTTTCTTTTGCCTCACAAAAACAGGCAAAAGATTTTGTTGCAGGGAATAATGTTATCATCCTTGCAGGAGCGCTAACTCCATTCTGGCAACATCAATTGACCTTTCAAGTTTGAAAGTTGGGAATGCTTTCCAGCTGGACTGATTTCCCTCAACCTCATTTTCTCACAGGCCAGCCAACAAACGCTTCAGCAGCTCGCCAGGAGGTTCAAAGGTGTTTTACTGTTTAAACCCAAAAGACTCAAAGCCCGTCTCGGCGGTCCGTCTGATATGTCGGAGCTCGAAGGGACCCGCTCGCCCCAGTTGTAAGTAGGAGCGGAAGCATCAATCAAGTAGAACTCCCGGACCAAACTGTGCATCGCTTTGCTAGGGCTCAAACCTCTTATGGTGCAGTATCGCACCGCATCGTTGTTAGCCCAGCAGATGGAGCGCCTATCCCAAAGAATCCCTTGGCATTGCCACCTACTGAGTACCATCGCATACAGTTCGCTCTGACATATGATGTACCAGCCTATCTGCACTTTCCAGAGCTCCAGCAGGCGTTTCGGGGCGGTTCCAACACAAACAAAGCTTGCCCTGCCAGCGGTATCCACCATAACCGCCCTGATGCCAGCAAATCCGCTCTCCCAGCAGCCATCAGAGAAAAGCAAAAGTGGCTTCATCTCGAAACCACAGTTCAACTTACGGGGTTTCGCAGCCGGCAAAATGCGGGCAGCATATTCGCAAAAGGATCTCACATCACTTGGGGCCCTCGTAAACAAAGGCCCGCTCAACGTCGACACCTCTGCACAAATTTGGTGAAGAAACTTTACGCCGAAAACGCCACAAGCATACCTCTTCAGCACATGAATGACTTGGCCCTGGGGTTTGGTCAGGTTGCCGTTACCTTGAGTTTGGTCGAGCAACTCGACCAACCGGTCGATCCTGCCAGGCTTATTTTCATGCACCACAGATCCGCCTACCACAAGGCAGAGGTCCAGTAAACACCCCAAAACGTTGAGCTTACTCTGAAACGGAGCTGCCTTGGTCCCTGTCCTCGCATGCTTCCAACACCTGAAGTCCAGGAGTTGACTCACCGCAAGGTTGGCGTCCTCTGACAAGCCCTCAGGTTGAAATATTGGAAAAAAAATGTCGTAGAAAACACCGCAGGGAAAAGCCAGTATCTTATGGAAGAAACCACAAACTCCGGGGAACCCTGTTGAAGCCGCAGACTGCAGCGCAGGACCCGAGCAGACCGCTGCAGCCAGACTTTTTTTCCTCCCAGGTTGCTATGTTGAAGAGACATCACAGCAATATCTCCGAGGATCGGCTGGTGAAAGATGGGACATGAGTCGCCAGATGGGTCTGTCCAGGAATGAAGCATACAGTACCAATGGATTTGGGGTGTACCCCCTGTTTGGACTTGTTTGAAGAAACTCCCACTAGGATCACTAGGGGAATCAGTCAAGCCGTTCAAGTCTTTGCGTTTCTGTTTGTGAAGAAAATGACCGGCTCAGAGGCACTTGAAACGATTTGAAACGATGTGCCAACTTCTCCACGTTGATCTTTGGGAACTGTGAAGACTATGAATGGAAAACAGTGACAAAACATTCGCATCCAAGGAACATGCCATTTTGATCGGTTTTGCATACATTTTCAAATGGTTTGCACATCCCATCTTCGATTCAAATGTACAAAAATGCCAGTTGACTGGGGGCTTCAACCGTACATCATTTGTCCAATCTGATTGATGTCTAATCTAGTTGATGTACTACTTACTTACTTACTTACTTACTTACTTACCTACTTACCTACTTACTGCCTTACTTATTTACTTACTTACTTACTTACTTTACTTTACTTTACTTTACTTACGTAACTTACGTAACTTACGTAACTTACGTAACTTACGTAACTTACGTAACTTACTTAACTTACTTAACTTACTTAACTTACTTAACTTACTTAACTTACTTAACTTACTTAACTTACTTAACTTACTTAACTTACTTAACTTACTTAACTTACTTAACTTACTTAACTCACTTAACTTACTTAACTTACTTAACTTACTTAACTCACTTAACTTACTTAACTTACTTAACTTACTTAACTTACTTAACTTACTTAACTTATTTGCAAAAATAAAACATGAAGAATCATTTGGCTCGATGAGAATAGTACGGACTTCATTTCCTAGATGAATCAATGCGAAAGTCCCAATGAATCAACCACTACGCACCCAGGGATCAGGTGTGCCGGGCGCTTTGAACATGAGAACAGTGTCAAATGTGAAGCTGAGCCACATTGAACTGTTCTGTACCAGTACGTGCTCGGATTTCCATGGTCTTCTGATAGTACTCGTTGATCAATGCATAGCCTGAAGAAAAATCTGCTGGAATGACGGTGGATTTGGACCATCTCCTTTGGTATCATGTGGTCTCTGGCTAATTCATCTTCGATCAATCAACTTGGGCTCTGGTGGCCAATATCCAAATCATCTTGACGGATATGGATACTCAGAGGCTGCAGGATTCAAACACAGATTGACCCTGAGAGCAGTGATGAATCAATTGTCAGCATCGTTGTGTGATCTTTTGTCATCAGCATCTTTCAATGTTTCCTGGCTGGAATCCATTCTTGCTGGGCATCGCCTCAAGCTAGTGTGCTCAGTGCTGAGAACCAGGTTCTTGTCATAGTTGCCAGTCGCTGCATTCTCACCTCAGAGTTAGAGCGATTTTGTGAAACAAACCTTGCCCATGGCAGTGCAAAGCTGGTGGAAAATATCTTTGTCAAACGCCCATATTTGGGCAAACGTGGCAAATGTTGTGCAAAAGCATCTGCCAAAGCAGTTCACCTTGTGCCAATTTATCTCACCATCCTTGGAGAATCACAAAGCAGATCCCCTCTTGCTCTCCTCGGTGCGACAAGGGATCTCCCCAGCTGTCAGCCAATTGACTTCCAGGAACCCCCTGTAGTATAAACCATGGTCAAAACCAGAATTTCCCCAAAACCAACCCTGATTGTTGATTGAATCAAGAGACTCTCCATGTTGACTGGTGACATCACTCCGTTGTTTATGGTCTCACCATTTTCCACGTCTGGGATCCCCGACTTCCAAAGGACAACGATCCAAAAACTCCGCGCGGAAGCTGCGCACATCCTCCCTGAAGCCTTCGATCTTCACCCGAATCTTCTGCATCTCCTAGAGACCAAATTCCGGACTGAGAAACCGAGAAACCGAGAAACCATCTCCACAGAAGGTCTTGCAACATCCCAAGGACGAAGCATAAAGAGTGCACAGAGGAATATTCAGAGCGTTGAAGAAACGCTTGTTTTGCCTGCACTTGTTCTTCAAATCAAAAGAAATGGATTTCCCCATGCTTCTTGGGAACCTCCAAACGCTTCAATTTCATCAGTTGTTTTGTTACCGGTCTTTTCTTTTTGGCAAACCCCATATTTAGCGGTTGGAAACACAGTTATGCAACCCACCAAACTTCTGTCCTGGTTCTGCAGAGGCAAGATCTTCTCCTCATTGAAAGCTGCTCGATCCACCTTTCAGTTGGGTCCCATGGGCTAAAATTGTTTGGACTTCGCTGCGCAACCAGATGGTTTCATTCGATCTTCGAAAGTAAGTAAGTAAGTAAGTGAGTGAGTGAGTGAGTGAGTGAGTGAGTGAGCCAGTAAGTAAGTAAGTTAAGTAAGTTAAGTAAGTTAAGTAAGTTAAGTAAGTTAAGTAAGTTAAGTAAGTTAAGTAAGTTAAGTAAGTTAAGTAAGTTAAGAACAGAAAGATGAAATTGATGTCGATTTTTATCAAACAAACTGAGCTGCTCAACCAAACAGAAACGGTGTCTTTCAGCCAATACAATTGAAGTTGTTTATCAACCAAAAAATGGTGACGATGCGGTAAACCCGTTAAATTATTTGCCCGTCCCTAATCACCAGAAATGGGTGGTAGCTAAAATGCCCACATGGTAGGTTTATGGCATGGGGGTTACCACATTAGTTGTCCTTTGTGTGGGACCATATTTTCACATCTCTCCTTGTAAAGGTGCAGTGTTTCAGAACCTTCTGTAGATGGTTTGGTTTGCAGAAAGCATTAGAAGCTGAAGTAGTCAATCATCTACGAGTTCAAACTTCGCAATTGGTAGAGGTAGAGAAACTGAAGGCTATGATGTCACAGTCTGGGGATCCAACGCGTCATGGTCCGAAGTTGGAGGGTCTGCCAGAGCGGGGGATTCCACCTGAAGTTGAAGATGGAGGACGGAGACATCGGGGGTATCACACGCCCAGAAGTGCTGCTCGGGGTAGCGGGAAGTCCGGTTCCGTCCAAATGGAACTAGGATCCCTGATGGAACGCCCCCAAGTAGTGGAACATAGTGGAACTTCTCATGCAGAACCATGTCATGTGCCTCAGCATCAGCCTGACAGACCTGTTGTACCTCCTTTTCCTCAATCCTTCATGTCGGATGGCAACATGGAGCGGCACCACACGCATCATCACTTCATCAGGAAGATGTGGAAATAGTTGACGCAATTTGTACGTCAAGGCAAGCTCCGTATCCATCCGACTCCTGTCCACTTGTGCTTCATCAATTAAAGCAGGGATCTCACCATCGCCAACTTCCATTGCTGATGCGCTTGATAATGTTCCAGCCACTCCAAAATCCGTTGGCCATCTGCCAGCGACACCATGGGACAACCTTGAAGGACACGCACTTCAAGCTGTCGACCTTCATCATCTCGTAGTTGACATTGATTGCCTGACCACTGCCAGGGTGAAGCCCAAGTCGGTGAGTCCACCCATTGATACAATCCAAGCAGCTGCATCATCAGGATCCCCAAGAAGAATCTTCGCTCTCTTCAGCTTGAAGGCTTCGGTGGAACCATTGGCCAATTGGACAGTAGTCCTCACCCCTTGCTCCCATTCCTCAGGATCTCTGGCAGGTCGAAGTCCATGAGTGGCGCCAAGAAGTCAATGAGCACCATATTGGCATCTGCATGGTCCAATCCACCGATCTGCATCACCTTCACTGTTGGAGCTGCAGGGACTCGAAGGGTCTTCAAGAGCTGCGTGGCTTCATGTAAGAGTTCTACAGTTTTTCCTCCTTTGAAGCCATTGTCACTCCCCCCACCACGGCCTCCTTCTTTGTCAGCATTGGTGGTGGAGCTTGTCTGGTGCCACAGCCACACCTGTCTCCGAGGTTGATTTTACCACTCAGCTTTTCCACCCATACCAGTCGATGTTCTTGACGCAGGTGACCCAGTTGAGCCTCCATTTCCACGTCCTCCCCCTGAGCCCGTAGTGACGTAGTGGGCTCACCTTGCTTCTTGCCTGTGGTGTTCTTCACCTTGCAGTCTTGTTTGCGATGGTTTCGGCCGCCACAATTCCAACATCGAGCCGCCTTGTCCTCCACCCCCTCCTGTGAATGTATCCACAGAAATGAAGTACATGCAGGGCTTGTCCACTGCGGCTCCCAGTTTTGGCCTTGGTCTCAGGTGAAGTGGTACTGGAAGATGTCTTCTGATCACCTTGCATTTGCTTCAACTTCAGTGGTGACTGCGTAGGCGTCTTCAATGGTGTAGTTTTAAGCAGGGGCAACGCTGCAGCTTCAGCTAGAAGACACCGGCTGAAAAACCATAGGCTGTTGTGGTCCGGCCGCTCATCCACTTGCAACTGCATGTGGCTTCGGGCCAATCTGACAGCTGCTTGTGGATCCACGGAGGCAATCTTCTGCACCGGCTCATCCAACGCCTTCAGCAAAAGTACTCTGTCGGGAAGAACTGCTTGGACTTCCTGAGCCCGACCATGGTGTCTGCGCCAAAGTGCGCATTGCAGATGCAACCTCCTGGATCGTTGAGACCTTTGGCGTTGTGGTGAGTTGCTGCAGGAGTATTTGTTTCTTCCCGCTCCCCCAGGTTGGAACCTCACCATCAACTTGTTTGATCGCGGCGGAGCAGGAGACGGTGAAGTTGCCCATTGAAGCGATCAAAGAAAAGTGGGCGATATCTGAGGAATTGGGCATCTGACAAGCCTCTGCGGTACTGTGGCTTTGAGATTTCAGCTGATAGTGGCGGGGATGGATTTCATGTGTCGCAGCGGATGTTTGAGCAGGTGCTGATGACGCGTTGGAACATCAACTATAATCCTTGCCATACCCTGCCTTCAAGGTCACAGAGTCTGATGAAGAAGCTCTCGGCTATGAGCAGATTGACAATGAAAAACCCAGTCAAGGCGGTGGAGATTGGGTACTCGCAGGTTCACTGTGGGCAAGCATCCCGAATGGCTCTCCTTCAATGGAGGCGTGCAGCGGCTTCTGACGTACCTGAGGTCAAACTTGGGCCTTCCACAGATGCCTGAACTGACGGATCATTTGAGCCGTTACTTCCGGCAGTCCAGGCGCAAGAAGGGGGAGACCATGAATGAGTACGTCACTAGAAAGTCAGAACTGTATGCAAGAGCTAGGCAAGGACTTCACAGGGTGATGTCTCACTATGAGAAAAAGAAGCCAGCGTGGGAGAAGAGCTATGGCGGCTATAGCCGTCCAGGGTCCACCGACCCTTGGGCCAACTACAGGAGGACACCCTCCCTGGCTGGCAGTCAGAACCTGAGTGCTGAGGAGATTCAGGATGATCGGGAAGCGCTTGCTCGACCTGATGATCAAGCTGAGGCCACCGAGGATGCAACTGAGGAGCGAAGCTCCACTGGTCCAGGTCCTTCAGGAGACTCCTGGAGTTATCCGGACTGGTGGTCAAATGACTGGTGGAGTACCTCTTGGACACCTTCCGAGAATGCCGACTGGAATGTGGAAGCCCCTGAACTACTACCAGAGTATGTCCAGGGCTGGTACCTCTTGTTTGATTCTGGCCTGGACACCAACGAGCGCAACATGGTCGTGGCAGCCCTGAAGGGCGACTTCACTATGACCCGAGTGGCACAGGAGCTACGCAGCCAGTGGACTGATGAGGACTTGCGTCGTCGAGATGCAGCCAATCGTCACTCCAGCTGGTGGGTGGATGAGAATGAAGAGGCCGAGTCTGAGGACTATGACACTGCCTGGGTTGCCCAGGCTCACCGCAACTTCAATGACGAGGGCCTCGCACTCCTGGGTGAAGCTGAAGATGTGGCTCAAGAAGCCCTAGCCATGATGGAGCGCGGGCGTCGCACCTTGAAAGAGGCCAGACAGAAACAACATCAGGTGAGGATGTCTCGGAAGTACTACCGCACCAACTTCAAGCCCTCTGGAAGCACTTCGGCTGTAGCTTCTGGCACAGATCAAAAGTGCTTCCGATGTGGTGGTCCTCACAAGACTTCATCATGTCCAAAGGCAATGGCAACAACGACAGCCTCTTCAGCCGAAGAGCAGGCTGCACCTTTCATCTGTTTTGCACAAGACCAGATCACCAAGGACCATGAGATTGTGGAGCCCTATGTCCCGGACGACCACGAGGTGAACTACCTGGATGCTGGGTTCTCCGATGCTTGCCCAGAGGCCTTTTTTGATGTTGCCGACACCAGCAGCATAGGGCCTATCTCCACTCAGATGGCCGTCGAGCAAGGCAAGGCTGTCGTTGATGGAGGGGCTACAAAGACCCTTGGCAGCGTGGTGGCCCTCGAGAAGATCATTGCCCTCAACAAGTACAAGCATGGGACTTCTCGCCTGGCCGACCTTGACTTGGAGAACAAGCCTACGTTTGGTTTTGGAAATTCATCAAAGAACCAGTGCGTGTCCACAGCCTCACTCGAGGTTCAAGCCGATGGCAAACCTGGACAAGTACAAGTACATGCGTTGGATGCGGGAGCAGGACCTGTGCTGTTCTCCATTGAGTCCTTACGGGCCTTGGGAGCAATCATCGACTTCTCCGAGGACATGGTCGTCTTCCGCAAGATCAACCCGTCCAAGATCATCAAGATGGAACGTTCGGCCACTGGCCATCAGCTGCTGCCCATGACTCAGGATTGGTACAGTGATGCTCAGAGCACTGCACAGCCAGTGCCGAGCCTGAATGCTTTCCTGTAGGGACAACTCCTTTCTTTCCGTGCGCCTGAGATGGAAAGGAAGGTCAGTAGCGATGTTTCAGGCACTTTTCACAACCCCTTGAACATGGTTGGTGATCCGAGCATTCATGATGGTGTTGGGTGTGTTGTTCATGACCATGTGGTTGTTGATGATGAAAAACTTTCCCAGGGTTTCCATGGACATGTTGGAAAAATCTCAGACAGCAGTCAGTGTACAGAGCCAGAACAACCTCATCCTGCAGCTCTCCAGCACAAGCTAGACGAGATCCCCAACGAGTCAGTGAACAAGAGACATGCCTCGTGCCACCAGAAAGGAACTGGTGGAAGAGCTCCTGATGACCTTTGGCGAAACAGCTCCAAAACAGTGGAGCATCATGGAGATCGAGAGCCGCCTTTTGGAACTCAAGGAAGCCAACGGGATGATCACTCAAAAAGGGAAGGTACGGCCACCGATGCGCCATGCCATGATCGAGCTGAACAAGGCCAGCAAGAAGAAGTCCGACCTTGTGGACTACGTGAACAACAAGCTCATGGTGAAGACCCGCGGCACCGAGACCATTCAGGAGCTGCAGCGCTTGGGCACCAAGAAGATCTACCAGACCACAGCCGCCTCTCCGGAGGATCCTGTGGGGTTCGGGGAACACTGCAGTCTGCAGTACCACGAGCTTCTAGCCCAACACCCACAGTATGCCAGTTGGGTCGTGAAGACCGCCACCGAGGGGGAATGCGACTACCGCCTGGCCCGTCTGGCCAATTGGCTCCAGAGCCCAGAGGCACAGCATCCGATGCCGACCTACAAGCAGACCTCCAGCGGCTACAAGAACACATCGACGCCGGCCAGCGGCTCGAATGGCAAGACCGAGAACATGATGATGCAGATGATGCAGATGATGCACGCCCTCAAGGAGGACGTGGACAATCTGAAAGCCGAGAGGCCTCACAAGAAGGTCGAAGCATCCAGTGTCTCCGAGATGACAGAGTCATCCACAGGCTCTTTCGTGCCGATCCCACAGTAGCTTCAGCTGGGAGCGTAGAAAACTTTAATTTGTCACAGGCGGGAATGCAGGTCGACAGTGGGCCCTGGAGGGGCTCATGGGAAGCCTTACCTGAGCAAAAAGTAAGACACTTGTCCCATTGCAGTGACAGATTGATTTCGAATGCCTTTGAGGCCCTGCTATCACACCAGCGCATAGAGCTGCTGGAAGTGGCATGTTCGGCCGACAGCGTGCTGTCTCGCACCATGCAACAAAAGAAAGGTGACGAGGGTGCGGCCCGACGCTGCTCACTTTTCAATGAGTATGATTTAGGAACCAACCAGGGGATTCACAAAGTCATTCAAGATATTGACCATTATAAACCAAAACATGTTTGGCTTTCTCCGGTTTGTGGACCTTTTTCAGTGATGCAAAACATCAACCAGAGAAGTGAAGCTCAGAAGGAGGCCCTTTCTGAGAAGCGCAAAGCTGCCATGAAACAGTATGTCGGTTGCAGTGTCATATATACGTACTGTATTCAGCATGGTATACATGTCACTTGGGAATGGTCACAATCATGTCAGGCATGGAGGCTTCCAATGATGCAGGAACTGGTGAAGAAACATAATCCATGGTTTGCTGTGGTACGGGGTTGTCGTGTTGGTCTTGTTGATGATGAGAAAAACCCAATTTCGAAAGGCTGGAAACTCATGACCACTCATGCTTTGTTGGCAAAAAGGATGAACATGCCATGTAGCTGTGGGCCTCACCAGAAACATGTGAAGTGCGAGGGTTCCCTTACCAACAAAACTGCTTATTACACCCCCGAATTTGCCCGAAGGGTCTGTGATGCGTTGATTCATGGAGCGGAAGATGAAGACCTAAAAAGGGAGTTTGTGGGAGACCACCAAATTGGGGAAACTTTTGGTAATGGGATCAGCTGCAGTTGTCACCACATTCATGATTCTCAACATGGTTTTGTTTGCGGTTCATGTGTTCATGATGAGCATGAAAGAATCAAGGGAACCAATCATGGGAAGTGTGACAGTAAGGGGAACCACGAAGTTCTGGTTGGGGAAGATAACCAACAAAGGGGTCAGGGTCTGACTATTGAAGAAATAAGAAAACGACTGTACCTCTTACATGCTGCCACTGGCCACGGGCCAACCAGACACCTGGTGCAAGCCCTGCGACGCAGGGGAGTGTCAGAGGATGTGCTCAGGGAAGCCGAACGTTTTGAGTGTTCAGTTTGTAAGGAACGGGGTAGACCGAAGCCACGACCTTTAGCCACCTTGGAGCCTCACCCCCCAAAATGGGCGTCTGTGTCAGGGGATATTGGGCACTGGGAACACCCACAAACTAAGGAGTCCTATCAATTTTTGATGTTCGTTGATGAGGGATGCCGTTTTCGTGTTGGAAAAATTGTTCTTACGGGGAAAAGAAGTCACCTTACTGCCAATCAGTTTGTTGAAACGTTTGGGGAACACTGGGTTCAGTATTTTGGTTTTCCTAATCAACTCAGGGTTGATCCGGATGGTAGCTTCAGGAGTCATGTGGTTCAAGAATACTGTGATAGGCACCAAATAATGTTGGACATTATTCCGGGTGAAGCTCACTGGAAGGTGGGCATTTGTGAACAGGCTATTCAGGGTACCAAGACTCTCATGAACAAAATAGCTGAAGATGACCCAGAAGTCACCGCAGCAGAAGCTCTGGCTGAAGCCACTAGGACCTTTAATAGCCGAGAACTGATCCGAGGCTATTCGCCCATCCAACATGCCCTTGGCCGCGCGCCTGATGCCACCGGGCGACTTTTCCCTTGCGGCCCAAGTGAATGTCCAGAGCTGCTGGTAGAGAACGCCTCTGGTGAGATGGATCGCCAGCCCCAGCGAATGCAAAGTGCGGAAAAGGCCTTCCTTGAATGGACGGCAAGCCAGAGACTCCAAAAAGCCAAGAACTCAAAACCCAGAGATGTCACCAACTATGAGCCAGGAGACCTAGTGTATGTGTGGAGAAAGCAAGTGAGCGGCCAAGCAGCCATTAAGGGTGGCTCGTTTGTGGGGCCAGCCCGCATCCTGGCGGTGGAGCAACATCGCTCTCCCGACGGGACCCACAAGCAGGGCAGCTCAATTTGGTGCGTCAGAGGGAGAAGACTTCTCAAGTGCTCCCCAGAGCAACTACGTCGAGCCTCCGAGCGGGAGGTCCTCTTAGAAGAACTACATGCCAAACAGTACGATGACGGGGACTTTGATAGAGTAGCTCAACAACTTGGAGGGAACGAGTTTCTGGATGTGTCCACCGAGGTACCCTCTTATGCAGAATGGCTACGAGCTCAAGATCCAGTCCAAGAATGGCAACCAATGAGAAGATGTGCAAGAAAACGAGGCCCCATGGTAGATGAGATGAGTGGCATGGGACCGGCTCCTCCAACATCCAGGCCAACAGAGCGATCCAGGAGTCCAACTTCCAGGCCTACGCCTTCTACATCCTCAGGAGCACCCGTGTCACAGAGGCCTCGAATGTGTGCCCAACAAGGCATGGCTGCTGCCCCACCATGGTGGAACCAGTCAAGTATCCAGGAAGTGTTTGCAGTCACCGAGAGCACCTTCTGGATGGATGAGACCGCGGCCGTGGCCGTGGAGGTTCCCATGCCAGACACACGTGCTGGATCTGAACGAGCTCTTCGAGATCTCCCTTCTTACTTTGCCAGTAGCTTGAAGAAACGGTCAGCAGTTGAAGTCTGTGAGCGTCACCTATCTGAGGAAGAGCGACAACAGTTCCGATCTGCAAAGGCCGTTGAAGTGAGTAACTTCATAGCTGCCAAGGCTTTTGAAGCCCTTCCAGAGAAACTTCGCCCAGCACGCGAACAAGCAGTGAAGATGCGCTGGATACTGACATGGAAGCAGAAGGAGGATGGCAGCCGAAAGGCGAAAGCCAGAGCCGTCCTCTTAGGATACCAAGATCCATGCTATGAACAGAGAGCAACGACTTCTCCAACCACGACTCGCCAGACCAGGCAACTGCAGATGCAATTAGCCGCTTCATATCGCCACAAGATGCGAAAAGGTGATGTGACAGGTGCTTTCCTGCAAAGCAGGCCATACCCTGATGACCTTTTTTGTATACCATGCCCAGAGATCTGTGAAAGGATGGGACTCCCAGCAGAGTCAATCACCAAAGTGAAGAAAGCCTGCTATGGCTTAGTTGATGCGCCCCTGGAATGGTATCGTTCCATTTCCGATTTCTTTGCAAAACTCGGATTGCAAAAATGCTGGAGTGACGCATGCTGCTGGGTTTATGTGGTTGATGGGGTTACCAAAGGGATTATTTCTGCTCATGTTGATGATTTCCTTTTTAGTGGGGATGAAACGCATGAGGGTTGGTGTACTGTTCTCAAGAGTATCCAAACGGAATATAAATGGGGAGATTGGGAAGAAAAAAGGTTTACCCAATGCGGAGTTCAAGTGGAACAACATGAAGATTTTTCCTTTTCGTTGTCGCAACCGAAGTATGTTGAAGACTTGAAATATATTAACCTGAGAGCCTTCAGGAAGAAAGACCGAAATGCACCCACTGAGGAGTCTGAGAAAACACAGCTTCGGGCCTTGCTGGGAGGGGTCTCATGGCACGCACAACAAGTTGCGCCCCACTTCAGTGCTGAAGTCGGCTTGCTGTTGTCAGAGGTGAACAAGAGTACTATAGAGACCATTTACAAGGCTAACAGGTTACTTGACAAAGTCAAAGATATGAAAGAACACTGCATGAAGGTACATGCCATAGAACCACACATGTTGTCACTGTTTGCATGGGTAGATGCCGCCTCCCAGAACCGCGTAGATGGCTCAAGCACACAAGGCATTATAGTTGGAATTTCATCTCACCGGTTACGTCATGGCAGCTGTGAGCCAGTCACCTTTGTCGCCTGGCATTCGCAGAAGATTGGCAGGATCTGCCGCAGCCCCGGAGCAGCAGAAGCAGCAGCAGCAAACAACGGAGAATTGTTGAAATAACCATTCATGATTAATGGTGAAAGTCCAATGATGGTTAATATGTGTTTCATCGATGTGTTTAATGAATCATGGTTAAACACCACCACAATTCACTATGTATCATCATTCAGAACTAAATTATTGAGCATCAATAACCACTAATAACCACTACAGTATTAATGATTATTAATGATCAAGCTGAGAGACCATGAGTAACCGCTCCATTGCTGGCCACACGTAACTTGGAAACAGCACCGCCTGGTAGAGATCGGCATTTCGCTTCGTCATCATCGACTGTCGGCGGCAGGTGATGAGCTTTTCCGAGTTGGGGTCCCACACTCAATATCCATCAGTTGATCATGATGTATACATGTATATATATATACATATGTATATATATATATTGATGATATAGGTTTATTTTTTCTAAAGATATCTGTTGATGAGTTTAAAAAAATGCTGATACCAGTGAGATGGATGCGTCTGAAAATGGATAATAGCCCCATAAAATAGCCTTTGAAAAACAGGGAACATTATGTTCTGAACCACTATTTTCAGACAAACCAATATTGCTATCATTGTATAGATCTAGAATCTACACAAGATCTCTTGGTAATATCCTCATGGGTTTGATGGGAACAGGGCTGTGTTTTTGATGTTGTGATGTGGATGTTGCCGCCAGTCTTACGTATAGTTGTCGTGAAAACCGGAGTATTGTTAGTGGAAGGAGGTTGCCCGACAAGAATCCAACAAATCAACAAGTGGGAAAAGGACGGGGCCCTCTACTGCGAACGCCAGCTGTATTGCTTGGAAAAGGCCCTGAGGGGGAATGGGTTTTAGTTGACAAACCCACTGATCTCATCATCCAACGTGGATGTTGCGAGATCATGTTGTTTGATCCGTGGGAATTTCAAGGCCGTAGTATGATTCTCCTGGATATAAAAACAGGAGCTGTGAAATCGTTCGAGGTGTCTATGAAAAGTGATTGTCCAGTGATTGTGCATTTAAGATACGTCAGTTTCAATCAGAACATCATGAGAGTCCAAGGGTACTCTCCCCACACAGTTGAAAACCAAACGATTGATCACAGATGACCCGGTCGCAACATGATTTCTGCATAGAACGGTGCCACAATACCAATTGGTAGAGTAGATCATTCTTGGCTGGGGGTTATACTACCCAATTCATTGGGGATTCTCATTTATCCCTTCCTATTACTAAACCCCCCCAAATACTAAAAACTAGCCAACTGGTGCGCAAGTTGTGTGAGTCATCGAGCAAGACAAGATAGCCAAAGAGTTGATGGAAGCTCCAAAAGATCTGGTGTGGCTACAGTTTCTTTTGACTTTTGCCACACACGTGCAGTTCCAGAAGGTGCAGATGCAGGCAGGGTCAAGTCGTTGACCTGTTTGGTGATGGTTTGCTCACAGACTGGCTACATGCATTGCACACCGGTTCGACACAAGAATCAGTTTGATTTGATGGTCAGGGAGTTGCTATCCTTTACTCAACTTTTGGGTCACAGTGAGGTGGTATTCATGTCAGACAATGAACCCACGATGAGACAGCTCTTGCGTATGGTTGTGAATGCTCGTTTGAGCATGGGCCTTGCTACAAGATCCACTACTCCTCAAGCCTACAGTCATGGGAACAGTTTGATTGAAAACTGCATTGGAAGAATCCGTCCTCTTGCAGGAACCTTCATGCACTACATTGCCCAGAAGATCGGCCTTGAGTTGAGCAGTTCCAATGCGCTTTGGAGTTGGGCTATGCGCCACGCTTGCTGGGTACTGAACAGGTTTAACACCAACCAGGGTATGAGCAGCTATGAACTGGTGACTGGAAAGAGCTACAAAGGAGCAACATGCGTTTTTGGTGAGCCCCTTTTTGGCTATTCAAAGACAAACAACAAAGGCTCAGCACGATGGTCTCGTATGTTGTTTTTGGGCAAAGTGGACCCACAGGATTCCTTCATCTTGTACAATGGCTCAAACTTGGTTTTGGTGAAGTCAGTGCGCCGCATTCAAACAGATTGGCGTGGACACCTGGCATTTTATGTCAACTTCAAGTGCCCTTCATATGACTACCAGAGTGGCTTTGGAGGTAGAGTGGTCCCAACCAAGGCACACCGTGATGCAATCAGTGCCAGTTTCAAGAAGCCACAAGGCTCGATTGAACCCTCAGCTTTCTACGACGCTGATGGTGCAGCTGTGATCGAGAAGGCCAGGGAAGAAAAACAAGAGGAATTGGAAAACCAACAGATGAGTCTTTTTGACCGACCTGGCATTGCAGTTGAGGAGGAGTTGGTTCAAATCTCTGGTGGGACAAGCTTTCCAAATCCAACCAATATCTGGGATGACAATGATGATGACGGCCCGGTGCAACCCAGTGGTTCAGGTGGAGCTCGACCATTGGTTCAAAACGAAGCCCAGGTTGTTGATGATGGAGATGGTGAAGAAGTTCCCAATCCGAGTTTACGTTTGGATGCTCCCACAACACCTTTACATCTCTTGGAAACTCCCTCTACTCCTACCTCACCAAGGAGAGATTCTACAGTCAGAGTGCATGAGCATGAAACTGAGGAGGAGCAGTCACAGAAACGCCCAAAGGTGGAGGCAGCAAAGAAGGCCAGACTTTCCATGCTGACAGAGGAGCGCAATACAATGGTGCGCACAGTCAAGTTTGCAGAGGAGGAATATTGCACAATGGACAGTTATGACAACGATCCTCAGATGGATGACCACATGGACCATGAAGATCCATGGAATGGTGAGGACCAACTTTCTGGTGACAACATGCCAGAATCACTGTGGTCTAGCTTGGACCCTACAGTGCAACCTCCTGATCCTCCAGCTTGGGTAGACAGGTTGGCCGACAACATTGAGCTTCAGCGCCTCTGCAAGATGGGTGTCCTTATGAAAGAGGAGGACTATCAGATGCCAGTCCACTCAAAGTTGACAACACGTTTTGTGTATGATTGGCGGCTCAAGGATTACAAAGGTCCCAACAATGACCAGCCTGCAGTTAAGAGATGGCTTCGACGTAGCCGATGCGTTGCACGTGAATATGCATTCCTTGAACGCCGTGAAGACACTTTTGCACCTGCAAGCTCGACCCATGTGCTCAATCTTTTGCCCCTTCTTTGGTTGCAAAAGACCTCTGATCACCAAGCAGCTGAAGGTACAGACACTGACAGTGACTGGATTCTTGCAACATTGGATGTCAAGGACGCATTTCTGATGGTTCCACAACCTGAAGTGCTGAAGATCAAGGTTGGTGATGAGAGCTATGTGGTGCTCAGGAATTTGCCTGGACAAAGGCAAGGTGCCAGAAGCTGGTATCAGTTCTTACGAGCTTTCCTCGACAAGACCTTCAACGTTGAGTGGTGTCCTGAGCAGCCTTGTTTGTGCAGAGGAGTGGAGTTCTGCCTACTTACCCATGTGGATGACATCATGTATGCAGGATCTCGAAAGTTTTGGAATGAGGTGTTTCTCCCCGCTTTCCAGAAGGCTTTCACAGTGAGCTACAATGAGCTGGGAGATGTTGGAAGTGAAATCAGTTTCCTCAAGCGCCGCATCAAGCGCCTACAAGGTGGTTTGGCTTTGATCCCAGGTACAAACATTGATGGTTTGGTTCAGAAGGTGGAAGCCAAGCTTGGACATGTGCGTTTACAATCTATGCCTGGAGATGCCAATTTGCAGCGTGAAGATACAACAAAGGAGCTCTCAGGAAGTGATGCAAGTTTCTACAGAATGGCAGTTGGAGTCTGCCTATACCTCTCAAGAGATCGACCCGACATCGTCTTTCCTGTCAAGGAGTTGGCTTCTCGAATGAGCAAGCCTACCATTGGATCACTGCAGAGTTTGAAGAAGCTGGTTGGATATTTGAAATCTACCCAGGACTATGCAGTGGTGCTTGAACAACCCGTTGGTGGCAGTGGACGATGGAAACAATCCAATGACAAGTTTTGGGTTCTCGAAAGCTTCAGTGACAGTGATTGGTCAGGTGACAAGAGACACCGTAGATCAACATCAGCTGGCATGCATCTTTTGTGCGGTGCCTACATGTTTGGCTCCAGCCGCACTCAAAGAGTGGTTAGCCTCTCTTCCTGTGAGAGTGAACTCCATGGAATGGTTTCAACGTTAGCCGATGGCTTGTTTCTGCGACGTTGTGCAGAATTCATTACAAGGGCCACCATCGAGCACTACCTGCTGACAGACAGCAGCAGCGCACGCCAACTTGCCGCCAGACAAGGAGTCGGCAAAATCAAACACCTCAGTGCCAAGATCCTTTGGATTCAGAACTTGGTCCAAGAGAAAGAAGTGATCCTGTCCCAGATCTCTACCATTTGGAATGTGGCTGACGCAGGCACCAAAGTGCTTAGCTCAAAGAGGTTGCGTTTGCTACTCAACCAACTTGGTGTTTTCCTGAAGTTTGGAGAAGAGCGTGTGGGGCAGGAGGAGTTTCAAGAAACATCACAACGTGCTGGTGGACGTGACATGGCTCAGCTGGCGAAGATGGTTGCCAGAATCATTGCAACAATGGGCCTTGGGCCAACAGGCGCGATGGGTCAACCAACATGCATGGCAGACCCAGCCCCTTCAACTGACAAGTGGTGGTTCAAAGTTGGAGTGATGCTTTTGGTTTTCATCCTGGTCGCATTTGCAGTTGGATGTTTTGTGGTGCGCCGCTACGTGAAGAGACTACTTCACGACCTCTACCATCTTTCCGTTCAAGTTGCAGAAGCCGACACAACAATCGGTGAACACATGGTTGCAGTGCCACAACTTCGAAATGAGGTCAATGGTTTACGTTTGCAGTTGGATGATGTGAGTCAGCGATGTGTCATGCTGACAAATCAACTTGCACAGTTTGAAGGAGATATGGAAACCTTGAGTGACCGACAAGACGGCTTGCACTACGGTTTGGTGGAAGTGGGCGGATACGTCCGAGCTCACGAGTTGACAGCAGCTCAAAGGCGCCACATGTATACACAGGAACGTGGCAATTTGGTTGCAAGGACAACTATGGGTGCCAGCCAATACCTCAGGACGATCCGAACTCAGTCCAGGGGTTACACCCATGGAGAGGATACAGATCCCCCGGTAGAGCCAGAATCAACCGCTACAAGTTCACATGCAATGGCAGCCACAGCAGCCAACAACAGAGTCAATGCAAGGAGGATTGGAGAGAACGCAGAAAGTTCCAATCCTACCTCAGACATGGAAGTGGATGATGTGACTCTTAATCCATCTCGAGACATCAGCACACGACGTGGAGAACTTGAGGTGACAATCGATGACCTACGGACAGAGTTGGACCAGGCTTTGACTTCAGCAGCCTGGAATGATGCTGCAGAGCTTCAACATACAATTCTGATCTTGCTGGATCGATTGCAGACTCATGACCTACGTGATCGAGATGCCAGACGTGAAACTTTTCAACGTATGGCTGATCGCATGGAAAACCTTTCCAGACGTGCCCGAAATCGAGGAGATGGAGTGTTAGCAAATCAATATATGGACTATGCCGCAAGTTATCGAAACTCAATTTGAGGTTTGGATGAGATGATGGAAAAAGGGGAATGGAGGCTACTCCCCAATTAATGCCTCCCTTTTGCTTTCGAAAATTCTCAAAGAGAAGACAGGCGATGTCAATCAATGCCTGTGATTGGAAGCAACGATGTTTCAAAAGGAAAATTGTGTCTGGAAACATGCAGGGGTTGTGACAATTTCTTGGATGCTGTGCCAAGTTAAAACTCAGGCACACCAAGGAGGAGTGCAAAGAAATTCCGGTTGTACTCACATGTTTGCATGGCCACCTGCATCAGGATGACACAGCACAAATCGAGAAGTCTTGGACATTTGCAATAGCTTTGAATACACATGAAAATCATGTGGATTACATGCCTAAACTCAGGCCCTGCGGTTCAAGTGGAAAAAGGTGAGTTAGTTTCAGCCGCTGCTTTGCATAAACAGAACCTGTCAAAGAGATTTTGTGCACGATCTTCTCGAGAATCTTCACGAAGCGAACTTGCAGAATCTTACCTGGTATTTTTTTCTTTCAAAAACCAGCTTGAATGAACACCATGTTTTCACTACTAGGGCCCCTTTTGTCCTGCTAGCAAGCAGCTTGCAGCCACTGATCCATTTGGGTCCTTGCCACCTTTCCCTTTAGAATCCTCACTACACACTGTTTGGGGCCTCTTTCCGGGACAATGCATTTTGTTAACATGATTTTCTAAGCACTCATGTGCGTTCTTTTCAACACAGTTCATCGTCAAATTGCAGAATCATCATATCATAAATAACGGATGTTGCTTCCCTAACGATCACGGCGCTGGGGGCACAACACCAATGAGTTGGAAAACACATGAGAAAACATAGTTTCTGGACACCAACAAGAGAGTTGAAAGAAGGGAAAAACAACTTAAAACAGGGCGTGAAAACGTAATGTAACATTAGTTGTCATTATTGTTGAAGTAATACATACTTTTGTTTGTTTTTGCATCTGCATGTATTCAAAGACGAAAAATCATGGAAATAATCTTCACAAACGATGACAATGATGGCCATACGCGCAATTTGTTTTTGCGACAACTTTTTGTTGAGTTTTGGGCTGTGCTTCGCATTTAGCCAGAATGCAACAATTTTGCTGTAAGATATCCAGTTTTCACACGGTTGTTTTCAACAATGCCCCACGTGTACGTGTTGTACCTTAGGCCATACAAGTCGGAATGAAAACATAACTCAACAATTGATTGGACAGAGGCAAAGGGCGCTGAAATGTTGACAGTGGAAAGGGGAAAATGTGTATCAAAGTCGAAACAGTGAGAAACAAACTATATATTGCCTGCGGAAATGTCGGCACACAAAATACGTTGCTGTTTACTACTTTTTGAAGATTAGATTGTTCCAACAAAAATAGTAAAATGTATGAGAGGCATGATTGTGTTTTTTGTAAAGGACGCAACATTTTGCCCGCACGTGTGTCATGATTTGGCTGGAGGGAGAAATAGCACGCCCCAATTTCTTCACGACCATACGTTTGCATGTCCAACAGAAGGCACGTCCAAAGTGCTGGGTTAATTTTTTGGCAAGATCAGCAATGTGCCTTATTGGTTTCCAATTCCCATGGATCCCAAAAAACAATTCCAATTCACAAAACAGGGATCAAAACACTCATCGAGAAATCAATCTTCAAAACTGCACAAAGGTACGTGTCTAAGCAAACCAAACATCTTGCAACATATGCGTGCAATTATTATAACATATTTGCATATATGCACATTTTTTTTTTTCCGATCAACGTGTTTCACAACCATATTTTTTTCAAATCACCTGAAAACTGTGAAGCAACAGATGTTTGAAAGGTCGAACGTGAAAAAACTCAGGACTCACTGGAAACAACATAATACCCCACATTCCAGGGTTTGCCCGGCAAATGGTCTCAAACAAAATTACTACGCAAAATACATCCGTGAATGGCATCCAATTGCGTATGTCGACGAGAACATGGATAAACATCACGGCAAGATTGGTATTCCCTGATAAAATTCATTGTGGGCTCTTCGATTCCATTAAAACGTTAGAAACTGCCAAATTTCGGAACAACGGGCAATTTTCTTACCGGTTTCAGCCAGTGCCGATCCAAAACCGCCGAATTCACCCAACGCCAACGTGCCTGAAAAATCTTGAACATTGGGGCAAATCGGGCAACCATTCATGAAATCAAGTCGGTCCATAGATAAGGCCGCTTTTGCCAGTTCAAGACCATGAGGCTGCTTTTGAATAGCCGAACGTAGCATCATTTTGTGACAAATTGTAACATCAAGACAGCCACATTTTACCATTGGACGCGCAATGGCCAGAAAACCGTTGTCAACAACAATGGTTCGATGTCACTCAATTAAAAAACATTGGTAGGTTCGCACGCGCAATGTATCTGGATCAATTATCTGGAATTTGGCGGTGTGAGTCATGAGTCATGAGGACAACTTCGTGTCATGAATTGCAGGATTTGGCTGCAAATACGTGTTGCTACCAATGAGTACCTGCGCAGTCGGATCCAGTAAAACTAGCGGTTCCGGCATGAAAGCGTTTGCGCATATACGAGGTGCACCGTACAGCGCTGTTGGTCTCCAAACTGCGTGTTTGGATGAAACGTCGTTCTGGTTGCACTTGTGGCACTTGGTGTGCGTCAGTGTACGTCACGTTGTCGGTGTCCTTGCAGGACGCAATATCGCAGGGCTAATCTGGTTTTTTACTTTCTTCCCACGGCACGTGCAAAAACAGTGGGGCTGAAATGTAACGGCCACACTGATCATCCTGACCCGCTCTTCTTTTTGCCTAGGTGACACGGTGAAATGCAAACAAAACACGCATGAACATAAATTCCAAACAAATGATACTGTGCGCGTATGCGAGGCCTCTGCTGGGTTAGCCCATGTAACCAACGTAGGAACGATCTTGTGTTGAGCGCCAAAAAATACCAACGTAGAAACCATGTTGAACATGATTTGTTTGGGAAAAATGCCTCTCGTTGTATGACATGGTTTTGGGACAAGTTTTGGCGGCTGGTTGGTAGCCTTAAACTGTTCAACTCCTGCCATGGGCGGATTGGAAACATATAGATTCCGCGGCCGTTGCGTGTGGTTGGGCGGGCCCAGAAAAAGGTCTTGGCCAACTTAGAACTGGTATCACGGAAACTTTTGCGCAGCTTAGATTGCTGGCTCAAGCGTTTGAATTGGGCAGAAGGGAACCGCTACCAGGGCTTTAAATTCCCAACTCGCTCAACATCGTATTATGGATAAATTCGTTGACGTACACACCGTTCGCACCACGGCGTGGAGAAATTGCGTGCCTCGATTTTTTTCCAACCCTTCGTTCACCCAAAGCATCGTCGTGGATAAGACCAAAACACACCTTTGGAAATAGGTTGGCATCAAACAACCTCAGCGTTAGTGTCAAAACAATATGTTTGATAGGCTAAATTGCTCGAAAATTGTGACAATTCGCTACTCCAGCTTGGATCCCATGCTCACATTTTACTCGCGCTGTAAAAACGTTAAGTTTCTAGGAAACCATCGTGCCAAATATTTGCGTTTGGTTTTACCGTAAAAAGGCAAATATGTCATTTGCAATGTGAATGTGAATGCACATCGGCCTAGTCATAGGTCGTGTTGCAATGAAATTGTTCTCGCTGTGTTGAGTGGTAACCGAACTCGCCGCCATTCCGCGCGCAGTGCTGCCAAAGAGTATGCCAAGTCGTACCACGAACTGGAATATAAGAGTGCGTCACTGAAATTTTCTCTTGCGCAAAACTTGCCACAAGTGGCAATTCGCCCTTCCAGTTTGAAAATGCACCTTATAAAACGGGATTTAACAAGGGGAAACATTGATTTTTTGAGTCCTCCCTCCCCCCTCTCCTGTGTTGTTTTTTGTTTGTTTGTCAATTTTTTGTTTTTTATTATTTTTTGTGTCGTTGCCGATGTCCAAAATGGTGCTGGACCAGTGCAAGTCAACCACTGGAGGTGGGGTTCGGTCGATATTTTCAAAGACTTTTAGCAAAGTATTTGGAAAACATCTCTCATTATCCATGTTGGCTGCTGAGGCAGAAATTTTCCGCAGACTTTATTTGACAGACCCCTGGAACATGTTTTTGTGATAAAGACGTGGCACCTCGTTTCAACGTCATTTTTTTAAAATTGTTTTGTTGCTGTCAGGACGGGTATACCAATTTACTTTTACAACTGTTTCCGTAGAACATATTTGAAAGCAAAAGGGTGGCAACCACATCTTGATGAAAATGGTGATGTTTCCATGTATCACATGCAGTTGACACAATGTTTCGAAACCCAACCTTGCAATAGTTTGTCTGAGCTGGAACGTACTGGGTCTGGAGCTGCTAAAAAATAACAACGACGGAATGCGAACAATGAATTTTGGACAACGGATGAGTTTCAGTTGCTCGTATGGGAACGGAGGGAAGCACAAAACAGGCAAGGAAAAACACGTTTGTCAAAAGAAATCCGTAAACACCTTCGAAAACAGCTGCGCGCAAAACGCAACAATAGAGTCACACAAATTTTGGATGAATTTTCTGCCTTGAACCGCTCGGATTCGGCGTTCCGTGATCCAATCCGGTTCCAAAAACAAATCCAAAAAAAAACCTCAACCAGAAGAATTTGCAAACTATTTAGGTGATGTTTTTCGATCTGACGTAGGCCACAATGCGTCCGTTTTGGATATGCTCAAGCGCACAGGTCCCACAGCATTCCGCCTTTCCAGCTTCGTGAGTTGCAATATGTGTTGAGCCAAATGCCATGCAATAAAACAACAGATGCTCCTGGAGTCGTGGTCGAAATGTTCAAATATGGAAAAATTGTATTGCGCACATGTTTGTTGAACATGTTAAACGGTGTGTTGAAGAGCGGTTGTTTCGATGAATCGTGGCGGGCAACACTTTTTACAATGTTGCCAATGTTGCCGAAGATGGGGGACACATCAAGACCACGTTGCTGGAGGCCAATTGCTATTTTGAAAATTTCCTATTAAATATTTCCCAAGCTGATGTGTCAGAGGTTGAGGACTACATTGGACAGCAATTAAAGCATTGACTAAACAAGGTTTAAACCTGGAACTGGCATTGAGGACGCGTTCTTTGCTTGCGAGTCATTGTGCAACAAGAGCCTTGAGTGGAATTTCCCCCTAAGGTGTGCAAATTTGGATGTGACTAAAGCCTTGGATCGTGTTGAATATGGCGCTCCATTTGAAGCTTTCTTGGAACAAGGTGTGCCAAAACCATATTGGTGCATTATTATGGAAAGTTTACCAAAATCAAAGTGGTAAATTGCAACAGGGACACGGGTTTTCCATTCAGAGAGGTGTGAGACAAGGAGATGTCATAAACCCTATTCTTTTCAACGCTGTTTTGGAGTCGGCAATGCGGAAATGGAAACACAAACTGTGGGCGAGTCATGGCGAGTCATGGTTTGGTAATTGCCGGGAAAAAAATTACGAACATCAGGCTTGCAGATGGTATGCAGATGATTTGATGATTTGATGCTATACGCCCGATCCTTGCAAGACTTGAGGGATATGATGGCACTTTTGATTGCAGAACTCGGAGCCATGGGTCTTCAACTCAATGCATCAAAAACAGAAATATTGACAACATTTTCCGGAAATCGACCTATGCACGTGGAACTTGCTGGTGATTCAATGGAAATACCAAATGGCCGCAGCAAACAATAAAAACTTGGGCAAAACATTGGTGGGGCTGCAGGTTACATGGGCGAAGTTTCGCAAACAAACACGTCGCATTGAAATTGCGGCTCAAATTTTTCGATTCGGTTTTGTCTCCAACAGTTTTATTTGTTTTGACCACACTGCCACTCACCAAGTCTTAATTGCAACGATTGGACGTTACCCACGAGAAGATGCTCCGAACAATTGTAGGTGGGCGGCGGTGGATTCAACTGATTGAAAAACAAGGCAACCGGTTGACTCGGCGCCCTTGTAAGGGTGACGAAATTGAAATTCTGATTTTTGAGGCTGAGAAAAAATGCTGGTATTTGCAGGAGTCGTCAAAAAATGTTTGCAACATGGACATTCATTTCGATTTGCAGGCGTGTGACTCAAGAGTGAAAATGTGCGTTTCGCCTGCGCGGTGACTCGCTTTTGCTCTTCAAGGGTCAAGAAAAAATATTAGAAATTTATGATTTTCAATCATCCGAATCATATCAGGGCGACATTCACTCTTCCAGTTTTTTCCTCTTCTCGACGCTAGCGGTGCCAGAGCGCTTGTGGCAATGCAGAAGCCACAGTCTGCAACAAGGCAGCGTTGTGACGCCAAGTCCAGCTGTAGGCCCAAGTGTACCCTTTTTTGTGCACGTTTTATTTTTTTTGTGGAGCATCGACGGAGGTCGCCATTTTTTCAAGTGTTTCCATGTTCCATCCATTTGTTGGGTACCAGCAACAATGGCTCTATAGGATTTATCCCACAAACGACCTCGAAAATGATAAGTCTTAGTCTTAGTAAAGATATTTTGTTTGTGGTTGACTTGGGCCAATTTGAACCTTTTGCGGGGATAATTTTTTGACACAACTGACAGCATGTGCAACGTTTGCATCTTCCGTAACGTAAAGGAAGTGCTCGTCAGGGACGTTAATACACCCCCCCACCCCCCACCCCCACCCCCCCTGATGATCATACGACAGCATGCGCAACGTGTGCATCTTCCGTAACGTAAAGGAAGTGCTCGTCAAGAACGTTATAATACACCCCCCCCCACCCCCCACCCCCCTAATGATCATACGACAGCATGTGCAACATGTTAAAAACTCAAAAAAATCAAATCCTATACCCCCATTTCCGCAAGCCTCATTTTCGAAATTTGCAACCCTTCCAAGGGATCGTAAATGGCACATCTCAAAATTGGCAACCCTTCCAAGGGCGCCGTATCAGCCGCATGCCAAAAACAACAATGCAGCGAATGAATTAAAAACTGGATGCAGCACTTCGTTTATACCCAATTAGCCCCTGGAGTGATGCAATTTCAGAAAACAATTTCGTTTATCTGCGCGTGTTTGTCGACATCTGGATCGATGGCCTGCAACAGCAACTTTTTGGAATCCTCCTGACAAGGCAGTAGCATATTTTGCACACCAAACTTTTTGAAAACGTGGACGCCCACAAGTGCGATGGGATGACAACTTGCGGAAATTTGGTGAAATGCAATTTCAACAAAAAACATGGTCCATACCTGCTCGACATACTGCCTTATGGTATTCTTTTGAAAACAAGTACATCCAGTTCCTTTGAAAACGAATACATCCAGTTTTGCCGTGAATCGTTTGCATTGTAAACATGTAGTTTTGATGTGTTTAATTTCTTATTTTCGCGTTCCTCCGCGTGTCTTGAAAGGACCGCAGTCACTGACTCGGACGGGCGAAAGAATGAAAAAATATGATTTTTGAATTCTGTGCGGGTTCAAACTCGTTGAGTGGCTTTGGCCGTGGTAGTGCGCGAAGAAAAGTCCAAGTAATATAATTGTATATTTTTTTGCCGCCTGGTTTTTTGAAACTTATTTACTGCATGCAGCATTTTGGCGGGAAACAAATCAACGCATTGTAGGGTTCGCCAAAAAAAATTACCTGGGCCCGAGGGAAGTGGAGGTTTGGAGATGTTGTTGAGGTGGGTTCCCTTATTTATTGGGGGGACGTGTGCATGGGGGTTGTCGTGGTGTGGTTGGCTCCGTTAAGCAAGTTTATGGTGGACACCCGATAGCTTTATTGATCATTTGGTGCCCAATGGGGTATGCCTGTCAAAATTCTGGATAATTCTTTTTTTGGAAAACACAAGTCGGAACTATTGAAATGTCATCTCAAATATGATTTCAATTTTTGATAAATGGTTGCAATTGACTAAAGCACCCCCCCCAAACCCCCCAGCCAGCCGGCTCCCACCACAGTAAGCACTTAAGTCCCCAAAAGGGTTTGGATTTATGCCCTCCCTCAAGCACATCTGGAGACTGGCCAGTATAAAACAGTCAGCAGGGAGAGCTGGACCTCATGCGGAAAAAGGTGCGGAGGGAAAAAAAAAAACTAAAGCGCATTTATCGGTTTTTCTCCATTTGCGGGTTCCAATGCCAGTGCGCGCTGCCGGACCTGAACCGTGAACTCCAGATTTCAGTGGGCACTGCCGGACCTCAACCGCAAGCTGCAAACCGCAAACTCCAGAGCTCAGAATGATCTCGGTGTGGCGAACCTATAACGGCGAACCTATATTGGGACAGCATAGTGTTAAACATGACGACAAAAGGCGGGTTTGTTTGGAATGGCCAACATGCGCGCATCCAGGTCAACAGGTACCAGTCCCCCCCAATTTTCGTCCACCAATTCCGGACCCCACGCACCAAAACAGAAAATAAATTGCGTTACAATGCATGATTTTGCAAGTTTTTCCTCGCAAGGACCTGGCGTAGAAAAATATTCATCCCTTTGGTTATGCAACTTGTGTTTGACAACGTTCCTACGCCCCTTGTTTGTTTGCAGTGTTGGTTCGCCGAGGAAACAGAGACATGGCAATGGCAGGGAGAGGGATTAAAAAAAAACAAATAGGGATCAAAAAAAAAGGATCAAAAAAGAAACAAATAGGGATCAAAAAAAAAACAAACTTGAAAATTAAAGGAGGAGAAGGAAAGAAAGAAGGAAGGAAGGAAGGAAGGAAGGAAGGAAGGAAGAAAGGAAGGAAGGAAGGAAAGAAGGAAGGAAGCAAGCAAGCAAGCAAGCAAACAAGAAAGAAAGAAAGCAAGCAAGAAAGAAAGCAAGCAAGAAAGCAAGCAAGCAAGCAAGAAAGAAAGCAAGCAAGAAAGAAAGAATGAAAAAAAAAAGTAAGTAACCTTCCCTTGAAAAATGGAAGGAAAGTTTCCTTCTCTTGACCCCCCCCTCACCACCCTTCACGCCACCCCCCCTCACCCCCCTTGACCCCCCCCTCACCCGCTTTTATTTTTTAGCCGGCTCCCCTTGCTACCTACTATTCTATTTTTTTTTTTTTTCACCAAGCCTCATCGTTGTTTATTTGGGTTCATTAATCTTGCTTGATATCCATCGCGACTTTGTGCTTAGTACTTCTTTCCTTGGCACGCATTGCGGGGGATGCCGCGCCGCCTCCCCCCTTCAACCCCCCCCCCCCCCCCCCCCCCCACCCCCCCCCACGCCGCTTTTCTTTTTTTCTCCACCCTTTTCTCTTCTCGCCCGTTTCTCACAAAAGGGGCTGCGCAGTCAGCGCAATGATTCCATGCCTCATGTGTGAACCAACTCAAGGCCATAGTGCAAAGTGTTCCTAACTGTTGCAACGACCATTGAAACTGACATGAGTAGTGTGTTTGATGTTTCACACTCCTCCTTGGAAATTAGAGTATTGAACTCTAAATTCCACATTGAAACATGTTCACCTCAGCCTTGTTGGCCTTGGTAAATGAAAAAGCAAGCCTTCCAGGTTGTTGATCATTTGACCAACCCTTTCGGCTTCAACTTCGTCTCCAACTCCGGCTGCTTCGTCTTGAACTTCGCGTAAGTCACGAATTTCCTGATCCAAACGATCTGCATAGCCCTGCATCTCTTCCTCAGGATTAATTGGCAACTGAGTTTCATTGTCGGGTTCATAGCCAGGTGGGAGATTCTCATTGAGAACTGTATGAGGTTCAGGTTCTGGTGAAGTACGTGGTGCTCCGTACTGGGTATCATCTGCTTCATCCAAGTTTTCTACTTCAAAGTCACGGCTCACTGGGCTGTCTCGTCTGCTCCTCCTGTCTTCATCTCGAAGATCACTGTTTCGCAAGAAGAGACCACGACGCTCATGCTCATCCATGGGTTCCTCAAAGCTGTTAATGTAGCCACCCAAGTTGATCAAACCTTCCCACAGACGAAAGAACATCTGAAAGGCTTCTTCAGTTCGTGTTTCCGCCCGGTTTGCTGCTGAAACTCCATTCAATTTGGCAACTTCTGCCAAATTGCGCTGGAAAAGCATCCGACCTGCCAACGTGTTGATTTCCTCGTCAATGTGGCTCATAGAGCAATTGATGCCATGGATTTCCTCGGCTCTCAGAACTTGCAAATTCTCCTTGAGCTCTTTCACCTCGCGGCGCATCTTGAAGAGGAAGAAAAGCGCAAGCATCATCACAGCAATGATTGCGAGACCAATGCAAGCAAGCACTGCCAAACCCGAGCTCGTCCACAAACTCCAGGACGTAGCCAAAGCATCCATGTAGGGCTCATCAATGAGATAGCACATGTCCTCACGAGAAAGATCAAGTTTATCAACACCTTGAAGACTTCCTACTGCAAGAATTATGAGCATCAAATTGGCCATCTGTTTCACCTTCTTTGAACTGGAGCTACGGTCTATCATTTCTTCGTACTCTGTCTGGCTGATCTGCTGTCCATTTTCTGCATCTACAAATCCCAAGAGGAAAAGCAAGCCTTTCATTCTCATTGCAGTCAAAGGTTTTGTGCCAAGGTCAGAAACGTTGATGGTGGTGGACACCTGTGACACTACCAGGGATCCATCAGCTGTTCGCTCTTGAATCCAAAGCAACTTCGATGACAAATGACGAATCTTGCCAGTTCCACGCTTGTTTGCCAGAGATTTGCATGCTGAATTGTCCACCAAAGCTTCATGATGAACTTCCACATTCAAAAGAAACTCCAAACAACCACGCAAGTAGATACCATCCGCACACGCTCCAACAAGTGAGTGAAGTTCTGCTTCTGCTGACGACAAAGATACCACCTTTTGAGTTCTACTTGTTCCAAAAAGCAAATTCCCGTTGAGGAAGTGCAAGGACGCCGATGTTGAACGGCGATGGGCCTTGTGACCTGACCAGTCACTGTCGCTGTAGCTTTCCAAAACATACCCGCATTCACTGTGGACCAACTTGCCAACTCCAGGTGTTGGAATTGAAAGTTTCAAAGCATAGTGTTGGGTTCCTCTGAGGTATCCCAAAAGCTTCTTCAAACGCTTCAGTGAAAGAACTGTGGGCTTTACCATCTTGGAAGAAAGCTCCTTGACGCAGTAAGAGATGTCATATCTCTCTTGTGCAAGGTACAGGGCCATGCCTGTTATGGATCTGTAGACTGTGGCGTCCGATCCATTCAACTCCTGAGAATTGTCTTGAACTTGGATTCCACTATCTGCTGGAATTTGTTGTGCCCGAACCATGCCAAAGTGCTCCTCAAAAGCTTCTAGCATTTTTTGGATGTAGTTCCCAGGCTTCACCACAATGCCGTCGTCGACACGTGTGTATGTTCTCTTCAAAAAGGAAATTGAATCACCAACGTCTTTGAGCAACTCACAGCTCAATTCAAACTTCTTCTTGAGTAGGGGAAGGAAAACATCCTGCACGTAAGCCTTTTCACCCATCAGCATCACGTCATCCACATGCACAAGCAACATCATCTTCTCATTTCGCGCCAAACATGGGTTCAAAGGACAATGTTGGAAACCTGCCTCTTGCTTGAGATAGTCGCTGAGATAGTCAAACCAAGCTCGTGCTCCCAAGCGTTGACCAGGTAGGTTACGCAACACAATATAGTCATGATCTCCATGCCCTTTCCCCAACTTGACTCTGAGTGGCTCCTTCAGCTCCACCTGAAGAAAAGCATCTTTAATATCCAAAATTCCCAAAAGGTACTCATAGGTGTTGGGCTTGTCCATCTGCGCAAGCTCGGACATCTTGGTCAAGTAGAGAGAAGGAAGAAGACGCAAAAGATGGGAGGAAGAAGCTGGGCTGAAAACGTCATCTCGTTTACCTTCCTCAAATGCGTATTCTCTTGCCACTAGACGTGCTCTTCTCAGCCAGCGTTTTGTCTTCTTATCATAGTTCTTCAAACGCCAGTCAAACACGAATCTGGTGGTGAGGTTCTTCTGGATGTACTGGTCATCTGGTTGATCTGCAGCACGAAGAACTTCCATCTTGGCTAAACGATCCAGTTCAACTTGTTCAGCAACTGCATCCACATCTCGGTCTGGTTCTCCTGGCTTTTCAAATCCATCTGCCCACAAGCACTCAGGAATTGCACTTGGCTCCTCATGGTAAAAGGAGTCGCTGAAGAGGTCTGAGTTGATATCCTCTCCATCCACTTCTGGTTCATCAACTGTGTAAAACTCAAGGTTACCAAAACGAACTGTGCGAATGCAAGCCTCCATCTCTTCTTTAACTTGCCCGATTTTGAGCTTCTTGGCTGGACTACCTTTGAGTTTCTTCGCAACATGCTCTTCATCCCCTCCTTCTGCTGATCTTGTACTGGTTGGACTTGAGGCTAAAGCTCCTGCAGGCAAAGATGCAGGTTGTTGTACACTTGAAGCACTGCTTGTCCCTCGGAACCGAATTTGAGTTGACAAAGGAACCTTCAAACTTTCCAAAGGTGTGTCATCATCCACCTCTAAAACATCTCCTTTGCTTTTCTCAGACTCCTCCTGCACCAAAGTCTTGTTCTCCACAGGCGTGTTTTCGATGTTCTCCATGGGGTGTTCTAATGGTGCAGAGTCCAAAGTCTCCTCGTCCTCATAGTGCACAATAACTGCCTTGCCTGGATCATCAAAACGTTTCATCCTTTCAAGTTCGTTCTCTTCTCTGCTCTCCTCAGTTGCTTTCTTTGCTACTGCTTCTGCTTCTGGATCACGTTTCTTCACCACAATCGACTCCAAAGGAATGAGGCTGGCTGCAACTGGTAAAGCTAATGCCTCTCTTTTGGTTGGAATGATCCTGGATCCAAAACTCGTTTGATAGTCGAAACTTGGGCAGGAAAACTCTTTGAAGTATGCCAAGCTCAAGCCCCAGCTCTGCCCAATCCTCCTGATGCTCTTGGTGAGGAGGATGCGACTTCCATCATAGACGATGAAGGAGTCCTGGCCCTCTGTCTTGCCCAAAAAC